AGGTGCTAGGCTGGCCTGCAGGCCAGACCTGTCTCACAATGAAAACATTTGGTGCATTATGAAGCACAATATATGACAATGGAGACCCAGAACTGTTGAGGTAGCAGCTGAAGGGTTATATCAAGCAAGAATGGGAAAAAATCCACTTTCACAACTAAAACAACTGGTGTTTCGTAACAATTACTGAATGTTGTTGGAACATTAAACATCTTGTCTTTGTACTGTTTTCAACTGAACATGGGTCAAAAAGAATTTGCAAATCATTTCTGTCTATTTTTGTATGTATTTTGCTTGCGGTCCTAACTTGAATTCGGGTTTGTGTTAAGTGCAGTTCTGTACATTTACTATTATAGGTTATATTATTGGTACGAAGCCTTGATTGATTGAATTATTCATTCATTCATTCATTCATTCATTCATTCATTTATTCATTTATTCATGTGTGAATTCATGTTCATTAAAAGCATGGCATCTTTCAAATAAATCCATTCAACATCAAAAAGGTGAGCAGTTTGTTAGGATTTCCTTTTTCCGTTGACCTTTCAAGTGCAGAAATATGTGCACACGCATGCTTATTTGTTTTCAGTGCATACATGATTGGTACAGTTCCTAAGAAAGTGTTGCTTCCACATAAGGGAATGAACATGTATCAACTTGTATCCCAAACTCACTCTCTGCACATTCCTCATTCGCCTCAAATGCCATAATCCGCATGGTGCTGATGCCTGATAGCAGCAAGACCTACTAGTCTGAAATGAGGGCTAAAACATGGGGGAGGAAATAAGATGAGAAGAGCAGAAAGTGGTTCAGAAAAAAAATTCTGCAATCAGACTATGTGATTATACAGCATGTAAGTCTATGTGAGCATATTTGTACATACCAAATAATATTCTATGATGATTTTGATGTTTTTTCTGGGGTTGGAGATTACTGAAATTGCCCCAGAAATGCTAAAATGTTAATACTTTAGTAATGGATAAAATAGCATAGTGGGTCATGTTCAATAATAAAATGATCTAAGTGTATAACAGAAAATATAGAATTAATAACATATTGCTTGGCTGTGAATAATAGCACACACCTCAAAGTTTGTAGCAAAAGCTATTCTTGTTGCTAATAATTTAAAACATACCTAGTAGTGGGGCAGTGTGTCCACAACTTTAATTCCCTTATACAGTATCAAGAACATAAAGTTTATTCTTCACACCAACAAGGTAACTATGAATGTTCCTCTTTGTCCCATTTTTCAACCTCTATTCTGCGACAAATGTAGCCATAAAACCATAAAAATGGTTCATCAGTTCAACCTTAAAAATAACCTTAAAAAGTACTTTAACTCTTTTTATTATGCAACTTAAATATATACTTTGACTGAAACATTGCAAATTTGGAATGGAAAAATGGAAAAATGGAAAACAAAACAAACAATTTTACATTAACTTCATATCAACTTCTACCCTGTGCCACTTTTAACTGTATATTGTAGTAATACTCTTATTTCATTGTTAGGTTTTGGTGGAAACAAACGGATTAATATCCTAAAACTGTCAATTAAAAATTGTCCAATTAGATTTTTTCCTGTGGTGTTAAGCAAGCTCTCCCATTGCTGAGGCCTTTAGGAGCTGAAGAGAAGTCCTGACAATGCCAGTTAGTGTGCCACACCAACTGCAATATGCTCCTATGGTAATCAATGCAGACATTTACAGACTTTTACAGGTAATGCAAAAGTAATGCACAAGCTAAGCATAAAAATAAGCTTTGTGTCTATTTTTGATGCTTGCCTCAAGCAGCATGCTAACAGTTCCTGGCTAGGAGGACCACAAAATCCGGTATTCCGGCTATATTGTGCTATCTAGGTCCATAATAAACAGCAGTTGGCTATATTTTGAGTTGTAGCAGCAACATTGCACTAGAAGGTTCTGGGGTCTGTTGGACTGATGAGGGAAATAACTGAGGAATTAGCTGATCAAAACCTCTTTCAAATAGCTGTGCTCAAAAATTGTGTGCATAAAGTTTATTTACTTATAAACAGAATAAAGACATCTGCAGGTTATATTAATATATACATAACTAGGAAAAACAAATTCTCAGAAATGCTCTTTGCATCACATGCATCACGGTAGGATATAGCAGTTTTGGCCACATCATTTCTGGTGTAAAATTAGTGTTACATGTTAGATACATTTAGGAAGTGACAGCAATCTGGATGTCTAATGTGTGGGACTGTACTTTTTAGAAAAACATTGCCCTAGGCCAGTGGTGCTCAATCCTGCTCCTGGAGATCTACCAACCAGGAGAGTTCAGATCAAGCACACCTGGCTCTTAAATTTAGATGTCCCTGAAGACCTTTTTTACTTGGACCAGGGTGGAGCTAAACTCTGCAGGGTGGTAGATCTCTATGAACCAGACCGAGCACCGCTGCTCTAGGCCTTCATCAGTGACTCTGAATATGAGTGATAGCCTAAACAGTTAGTCGGCTGTTAGAAATGGAAAACGGAAGCAGCTCTATGCCAGCGTTCTTTACTGGAAGAGCCACTGTACAACTGTAACATACAAGGTAAAATGTATGTTACTGTCTGTTACGAGCTTTGAATACAAAAATATGGAGTGTCTTTTGTAAGTTTCAATTTTCAAGTTTCCACGTTTAATGTAGAACAGCTAAAAATGTTCACCCTGTCTGAAAGAAGTCCCATATGGGTTCTAACAGAAATTAGCATTATGATATAGATGATTTTTTCTCATTTTTTGACATTTGTTTGAGATTTGACTTATACAAAACTGTCTGACCTGAAGGCCTAGCTCTAATAGTCACAGTTCACAATTATTGTCCACTGCAAATTACAAGACATGTTGAAGTCCTGGAGTGTTTCTTAGACTAGCACCATATTAAGACCATAGTAAGTAGTACAAGTACAGTCTTGAAGAACGACATTATTGTTTAATTGAGTGAGAAAATTTTATAAAGTGTATTTCCTTCATTGTCCAATCCTATTTTTACTTTTTTTTGCTGTCCTTTAGTTCTCATTCTCTACATCCTATGTGTAAAACACAAGGTCCGTGGGCCAAATCAGGCCCGTGACACAATCCTATCCGACTCAACTACAAGTGCCTATGTTTTACTGCTGAAGTCTTTGTGTATCTTAATAAACAGTGGCCAGTTCAGGTTATGGCACAACATTAGTTAAAAATGAAACCAAAACATTTTTTTTCTCAGATTTGTTGATATGGCTCCTTAAGTGGTTGAGTTTAACACCCCTGCTCTACATTAACCCACACCACTAGGTTTCAGGTGTTCTCTTGTAGTCATATGACATATGAATCATAAGTCTTTGTCTTAACACATGCTTCTTGTACTTCTACACCCCGTTCAGGCTTCAACACATCCTAGCCCTGACCTCATCCCTTTTACGGCTGTTCTCCTGTGGAATCTGAGCAATCACACAATTCTTCACAAGAAGGAGGAACTTCAGAACTTCTCTCTTTCACCGCACAAGTTGCTTTGTTAACACTTCATCAGGGCGAATGGTCCCTGAGAATGACTTCATCTTCATTACTCACCCTAGACACGCAGAGACCTAGCGAAGCTTAGTGCATATGCTATCCCTCAATAATAAGAAGAAAAGGTGTAGGGTTAATATGTAGCACCGTTCTCAAACTCAACAAAGCCCATGAACAGAAAACATTTGAATCAAAGTATGTAAAAATGTAACAAAGTTAACCCTTTTCACTGTAGCAATTGAATGTAATTTCTGCCTGTTTTGGAGGTCCCTCAGTTGAACCATGCATTTGTTTTTTGTTCTATAACATTGATCGAATATATTTTGAAGCACTTCCATCTTTGTAGGTGAGTAGCAAAGTCAACATTTATAAAAGTGTTTATTATGTTTCAATGCTATTTTTCAAAGAGGCAAGTTCTTTGCAGAGAGTAGTGAACACATCAACAGCATCTATTTCACACTCATTGCTCACTAGCAGCTCAACATCTCAAAGTCAACTAGAACCTACAGTGCCCTAGTCATTCTGAAAACAGAGTTACAGGTAAAGTAATAGTCTATTATCATATTGATTAAAATGATCTGATATATCAGCACAAGATTAGAATGGCACAGAGTGCAGAGGTGGAAAATGCTTGCGTTCAAACACCTCAGGTGCTTGGACCCCTAATAATTCTAACCGCAGGAAAAAACAGAGCCTGATTTCCCAAGCACAGTAATCTTTGTACAACTGCTTATTGTAGTTAAAATGAAAGAAAATATTACATTTATAATGTAGGCTACATGGAATTATTGTGTCGTTTGTTGGCAGTGTTTGAGAGCTGTCAACATGCTTGCATTTATTTGTACCGTACTTAAAGTGTACTGCATAGAAATGAATTAAAACCAGTATCTTCATTTGGAGTTACACACAAGCACAAAATACTATAATGCAAACAAAACCTAAACATTATCCTACACCCTTTAAGAAGAGGATTCTTTAAGGATTGCAATAAAGGCAACGATAAAGAACCAGAACAACCATTTAAATGCTTTAAATTCTCAAATATATTACATCCCAAGGTTTCTGAATTGATTTCCACTAGGGGTTACTAGAGATGACAAGGAAGTCTGCAGTAGGAGGCTACAGTCAGATAACATAACAAAACGGAAGCAAGCTGTATATACACATCAGCAATAGCAACTGTACATGGAAAATAATACAGTTGTAAAAGTTATTCTTATAGGAGTGAAGAACAGAAGCCTGGACCTTCTAGCAGATCTTTGCCTTTTAAAGGGGTTAAATGATTCTTCTTCATGATGGAGAACCTGTTTTATCATAAGATGGTTCTATATAACACCAGAAAGGGTTCTGCTAATGTTACGAGTCCCGTTTATATGGAGAAATGGGTGGTTCGTGTTTTCTGAGAGAATAACGTTAATCAGCTAATAGAAAAGCTAAATGTTAAAGGGAAAAAATGTATGTTTAAGTCTTTAACTGTTGACGAATAGAGAGGGGGTTCTTACCCGATAATGTAAGCCAGGACCCCGAGCTGGATGAGTCTGCAGACTACTCCCACTCTTCTGTTTCTCACCAGCACCTGCCGAGGGGTCTCATACTCGAAGAAGAAGTTTGAAAGGGCTTCTGTTATATAGCTCTTCATTTTGGTTGAAAGGAGGCACATGGAAGTATGAAGGTGAGAGTTTTGTCCTCCTCTGGAGCGCTGGCACTTTTACTGCCTCACTTTCTTTTCGCAGATCCTTCTATCATCTCCCAAAGAGAGAGAGAGAGAGAGAGAGAGAGAGAGAGAGAGAGAGAGAGAGAGAGAGAGAGAGAGAGAGAGACTTCACTACTCTAAGATGTTGAAACATTGCAGTCTCATACTTCCTCCCCCTCCTTCTCTGTCTCTCCCTCCTCTGTGCTCTCGCTCTGTCACTCTCTCTCACTTTCTTGTCTTCTCTCTCTTTCACACTCTCTCTTCTTTCTCTCTCCTCTCCGTCTCTCTCTTGTTTTGCGCTCTGTTCTCTGTTTCTTCTCTCTCTTTCACTCCACTCAGTTTCTCTCTCCCTCCCGCTCCTCTCCTTCCTGCTCTCGTTCTTTGTCACTCTCTCTCACTTTTCTTGTCCTCTCTCCCTCTTTCCCAGTCTATTTTTCTCTCTCCTCTCTCTTTCTCTATTCTGTTTCTCTCTCTTCCTTTGCGCTGTTCTCTCTCTCTACTCTCTCTCTTCTCCTCTTTATTGCTCTGTTCTATCTTTCTCTGTCTCCTACTCCTCTTTTGTGCTCTCTCTATCCACTCTCATGCACACTCCCTCTCTTCTCTCTCCTTCTGTGTGCTCTCGTTTCTCTCCTCTTTCCTTCTCCTCTTTTGTGCTCTGTCTTGTTCTCTCTCTCTCTCTCTCTCTCTCTCTCTCTCTCTGTCTCTCTCTCTCTCTCTCATGTCTCACCATTTCTCCCCTCCTCTGTTGACTTCATGTCTTCCTCTTGCTCCCTCTTATACACCTCATGTTTAAGGTCAAATACTATAAATATATAAAGAGCCCAAACAAACTGAGGGTGTTATTTGAAATTGGCTTATAGCCACTAACCACATAACTATAACATGTCTATTTGATCAGTGAGACTCTCTCTCTCTCTCTCTCTCTCTCTCTCTCTCTCTCTCTCTCTCTCTGTCAATAGGCATATACACATACGCTTCTTACTCACCACTGCCTTCCTGAATAGATGCCAAAGATAGTGGCTGAAGCACAAATACGCGCGTTAGAATTACATACCACACTCATGTCACATTAGGTCAGATGTCTTTAGCAGTATTACCAAACAAATATTTGAAAAGTTCTCGCTCAGCCTTCTAATCCACCTTTACTTAGTCTCATTCATTATGACCACATCATCTTTTACAAATATAAGTGAGCAAACACACACTGTATAAAACTAAATATATTTATTTGACAGGTTCACTGTAATCCTACATTTTGCTCTGTTGCCACTGGCAGCGCTCTCTTTTACGTTACTCAGCAAATGTGTAGAACTGAGTGAAACTCTGTGAGCTACAGCGAGATACAGTGACAAGTTTGTTTCACAATCTTGTTGGGTAAAACTTCTTTCCCATTGGCTCCTGGCTCCATCTTACATTTGTTTCACTCACCAACAACGTCTTTTCATTCAACTCAGGCTACCTTTTCTCTGGCGTATGAGTTTTATATATGCTTTACGCAGCTGCAATGCATGCTGGGAACTGTAGTGTAGCTCATGGTGAAATGTGTGAATATTAATAGAAAATTAAAATAATTTTGCAGGGCTGTGCCACAGGTCTGACGTGTTTGACACATGGGCCTTAATGGGTGACTTAACGTTTTCTTTGCTGTTGAGTGTGGGTCTGCGCTGGCGGGTGACTATGTTCATGTCCTTTGTTGGTTAGTGAAGTGCTCAATATCCCATAATCTGAAAAAGTTTCTTAGTTACCAAATAAAATGTAAAATTAAATTGAGATTTTAGATTTGACTAACTCAAAAAGTTAAATAAAATTTGCACAAACATGTGTTTATGTTAATCTAACACAAAAATTTCAAACATATTTGGGAATACAGTGACACAGTTGTATGCAAAGTGTTAGCACCCCTAGCCAAATTACGTATATAATGTCCAATGTACTGTACTGTAAAAAAAATTAGCTTGGACAACTACAACAAAAAAGTTGTTCACTCAGCTTTTGCTTGTGCTAATTGTGCTAATTCTCATTTGTTGTGCTAAGAAGTACAACTAGACTTGAGAAAAGCTCTTTGAGTTGTACTAACTGTGTTCAACAAATAAAGAAAATCTAGTTTATGTAACCATTACATTCTCACTCAGTAAATAAAGCCTTCTGAAGTTGAGGTAACTAAAAATATTCATTGGAAATCCATACTAAGGAATATTAAGTTGTGTCACTAAACTTGACAGTCAGAATCCAGCTCTACAGTAAAGCTGTGAATGTTTAAAGACATAGAAGAGGTACTGCAACATAGGTGATCACAGCTTAGCAATCAATAATCTGCCACAGTTCTGGCAAAATAATGTCATACATTAAGCCACTATGTACTGTAACAATTCTTAAAACTCTGTGTTCTCCGGTATGTGGACATGAACTGATTACAACAGAAAGCATTTTGAAGCAATTGCTTTAATTGTCTAAACAACATTTACAGAACTTACAATTCAGGCACAATGAGTAAAACAACAATTACCTAAGTCAGGGGTCGGCAACCCAAATGTTATGAAGAACTATTTTGTCCCTTCAACAAAAAATCAAACCACCTTGGGAGCCACATTATTGTATGTCCATTTTACCATCATGTCTGTAAATATGTCTCAGTATGTGCTGATGTAGTATAGGCTAAAAAACCTAAATGAAAATGCAGACCTACTTTGCTCTACTTTAAGCTTTAGCTCAGTTATAGCTGCTTTTCTCACATCTCCGGCAGAAAACTTTTCCGCAAAAGTAGAACAGTTTCTTGTACAATGTCTCTCAACAATCAACTTTTTATGAGACTGAAGTCAGCTTCTCATTCACCAGCTTCTTGTTTGAATTTTTCGGTTCCATCTAAAATGGTGCTTGAGGTGCCAGAATGTAACTGCTGCACCATTTAAGGTGGAATGGGAAAATTCAAAGAAGCTGGCGAACGAGACACTAGCCACATTTACATGCAACGATTTTTGCCAATCCGATTGAATACAATCCGATTACAGATTTAGACTGAGGTGTTTATATGCACTCTATTCAACAATCTGATGGAAAATCTTCGTTTATATGCTCACTACAAGTAAGCCGATGCAAAATGACGCGCATGCGTGGAGTAGCGCTTAGAGTAAACGTTACCATGACAGCGAACATCACGTGAGGTCCAGACCAGTTTCTGCTCCGCCATGTTGAGCGGTGTAAACTTTCGCCGTGACGTGACGCACATGCGCAGAACATACTTACACGTTCCGATTGGAATGTAATCGGATTCAGGCGTTTACATGGCTATTATTCTTCTATTTAACGGATTATTTAGAAGTTTACCCACCTCGTTTAATCGGATAGAGATTGTATTCCGAATGGCCTCAATCGGATTAGACTATTCCGATTGAGGTGTTTACATGGACGTATTCTATTCCGATTGAGCTATTAGTCGGATTATTAACGGATTATCAGGCTGCATGTAAACGTGGCTACTGACTTCAGCCTCACTACTGTTTAGTGTTTGACAGTTTCTCATTGCAGATTAAATGTATCAGGAAACCAGCTGGAGTGATTATAAACACAAAAAAAGTTCATTAATCTCCAAATGATCGATGTTTGTCTTAAATCTCTCTTTGCGTTTTCATTAGCTACTAGCTAGGCAAGGGTGTATGCGTTGTTATGGTGACCAGAAGTCTGCGTGCCAACCTTTAGGGTTAAAGGGTTAAAACTGTATTAGAACGATCAGGAGAGCTTTATTTTACTGCAAAGGAGGATTATTTTATTTTACCTAAAAATCGAATTCTGCTGTGGAGCCGCAACAGGGCAGTAAAAGAGCTGTTGCCGAAAGGTTCTTACCAAAAAAATGACTAAACTAAACTAAATTAAACCAAATTGGTGAGTGTAGTTTACCGTTGTACTTGATTATATGTGTAAACTCACTGGCCAGTTAAATATGTACAGCTACCTTGTATCGATGCTCATTTTCCATTTAATCAGGTCCCTTTACCGTATAAGTGCACTTTGTAGTTCTGCTATTGCAGATTGTAGTTGATCTGTTTCTCTGCATACTTCATTCCCTTTCACCTCATTCATCAATGATCAGGACCCCAACCAGGACCACCACAGAGCAAGTATTGTTATAATTTGTGTTGTCAGCACTGCAGTGACACTGGCATGGCCATACGTGTAGTACTGGTATTAGTGTATCAGATACAGCAATGCTTTAAAACACCTCAGCATCACTGCTGTAGTAAGAATACCAAAGAAAAGAGCCAACAGCATCCTGTGATCACTGATGAAGGACTACAGGATGACCAACACAAACTGTGCAGCAACAGATGAGCTATCATCTTTACCTTTACATCTAGAAGGTGGACAAACAAGGTAGGAGTGCCTAATAAAGTGGACAGTGAGTGGACACGGTGTTTAAAAACTCCAGCATCACTGCTGTCCACTAGACTACCCAAATAATACCTGCTCTGTGGTGGTCTTGTGGGGATTCTGACCACTGAAGAACAGGGTGAAAGGGGGCTAAAAGGTATGCAGAGAAACACGTAGACTGCAATCTGTAAGTTAAGAGCACTTTAAAAATGGCCAGTGAGTGCATACGTATGTGTGGGAAAGAGAGACAGCAAGAGAATGAACATCTGAAGCCTACCCTACTGTGCTAAATATACTCGTCCCTTAACAGATATGGAGGTCTCTGGTCAATTTCTTTGTCACTTGCAGCTTGTGAAGGTGGAAAAATGAAGCAAAATGAGTAATGCAGTGATTTCCAGTACAGAATCATGCCTGTTTTTTAATGCAGGGCTGCCTGAGGGCCCGAAGGCCATGAGCATCCAATATTGACCGTCGGCCTTGTCCCTTGTGTACAGGGATTTCTCCAGATTCTCTGAATCTTTTGATGACATTATGTACTGTAGATGATAGGATATTCAAAGTCTTCTTAATTTTATGTTGAGATGCATTTTTCTGAAATTGTTCCACAATTTTTAGATGCAGTTTTTCACAGACTTTGCCTCTCTAAAATGCTCTTTTTATACCCAGTCATGTGTATTAGTTGCAAATTGCTTCTCCAGCTGTTTTTTTTATTAGTACCACTTACTTTTCCAGCCTTTGTTGCCCCTGTCCT